GCTGCACTCGCTTATATTGTGGCCTTGAATTTTGCCTTTGAGAGTTTCTGTTTCTATTTTCTCCTGTTCTTGATCTTTCATTAATATTATTTCATTATCTAATATTAATCTATTTTCTACATTAGTAGTAATTTTTATTGAAATGGATGGTGTTTTTGCTGACTTTTTTTTTATTATGTCCAGGTATTTATCTTCTATATAGGGTTGAAGTAGATTCTCTTCCTTTCCCTTTCCTTCATGCCAAAGAAAGGTGATATGTTGTATAAGAATTTGTTCCTTATGGAATGTTGTATTATCTATTCCTAGGATTTTGGCAATAATGCTATCCAGTATGGTATATATTTCTGGAGCGTCTGCCATCACACTATTGTGATTGGTTATACCTTTTTGTTTGTCAATTTGTTGCGTAGCCCATAGTTTGCCTGTTTCATCATGCTTTTTTGTCAATTGGACTAGCATGTCAATAATATCATCTTCTTTATTGTTTATTATCTGAAGTATCTGATTTGCTTTATTCATAATAGGATATATGTGTGGATTGATATTATTGTCATATTGTTGTGTTGTATTATGAATAGTCACGGGAATGGATTGATATGTATTTTTAGTGCTATTTTAGTAATTGTTGACAAGGTTTTATGTGTAATGTTTGTTGTTTTTGACTATAACCTTGTTTTTTGTATGTGTTTTAATCTTGTTTTGATTAGGCATGTGTCGTTTCTCCTTTTTTGCTTAGGTTGTTTACCTGTTACACTGACTTTGTTGTGTTTTTTACAGATCCCTGATACTCTGTTTACATTGATTACTTTCTATTGTGATAATTGTATTTGATGATCTTACTAATTTAAATCACACTTGTTGTACTATTGTGTTGGACTTTTGTCAAACTTGTTTTGATATTAGCTTTATACACATGTACATGTTCGTGTTACTCTGGTAATGTGTTTTGATGTATGTGGAGATATAATATGTACATTAGGTTGCTTAAACCTTGGAAAGTTTTGATGTCCTTCTGGGTTTTGAAGAATTTAAAATTTACTTGATTTATTGAGCAAACCTATTTGCTTTAAGATTCCTTGTAGTGTCAAGAAAGGTGTCAACCTGCACTGGCCTGACTGCAAGCTCTATGAAGTTGATATTGACTTCTCTTTTCTGACTGTGAATCAGTTTATATTGGTTTTCTTCCTTCTTCTTAAAAGGAGAAAAAGTCAAAGTTGTTACCATATGGATATATTTTTCAACAATCTACTGCTCTAGGGCTATGCACAAAATGTTATTTTGTACTAAGATGACTGTTGTATTCTGATGTTGCAAGAATATGTGTCTTGAAAAAAGATGTTTCTCTTTCTTTGAGTAAATTGCTTAAAAAAGGAAATTTCTAAAGATCTGAGGAATTTGTAGAAAAAAATCCATATAAATTATTATAATACAGTATATTTGCAAAAATATATTTATATTTATATTATATATCAATTATTTATGTCTTACAGTTATATTACTATTTATGTTTTTTAACTATTGTTTTTAGGTTCTTGATATTTTCTTGAACTTTGCGGATATTGAATTTTGAATAATTTACTAGTTAAAATTATTATGTTGTAAGGTTCCTTCTAATATTTAAAAAGAAAAAAAATTAAACTAGGTTAAAAATATTAGAAATGAATTCAAAAACAATAGAACCAGAAGAATACTAAAATAAATTGATTAATCTTTTCAATTCATATTTATATATTCTTTAAGATCTGCGAGAACAAAAGTTTTTTTGTCAGCCTAATACATGATGGGCAGTCCATACTCTAATCATTCAAAAAAAGGAAAATCTAAAATATATTTGAAATCAACTTGCCAAAAAATATAATTCAAGAAAAAATAGCATCAATACAAAAAGATCAGAAATTCGAAAAGAAGCATGCAAGAATACATTATGCTAATTAGATGATACGAGCCTATTCTCAAAGTAACAGTAATAACAATCAAACTGTTAAAAATTTATTGTTTTTTTTTATAGCCATATGCCTCGATATATAGTACCAGTTGCATTATAGTAATTATTTGAATATCATTTCTTTTGCATCACATTGTATATACATATGGTTGAACCATTACATGTTACGCCCGCGGGCAACAGAAATATTCAAGATGCGTCGCAAATGCATCTATCGGAAATTATGATTAAAATTTTAATTACAAGGTAATAAAAAAGATAAATTAAGTAGACCTAATTCATAATGCAGAATTATTATTCACAAATAAATAAACGTTTATAAATTACTATTTTTTTTTCTTTGCGCCGTGCGCATACATGGTATCAATGTAGCAAATGTCAATGTAAAGAGTAACTTACCCTCTCCATCTCAGTCAATTAGCATTTCGCGAATGTACCTCATCAGTAGTCCACTCAATATCGTTCATCAAGTTTAAAAGTTTATGTCGCGTTTGAACTTTAACAAGTTGGCCTTATCCTCTTTCTATGAAATTCAACGAAAACAAATTAATCAAAATCCAGGAGGAGTCTGAGCGTTCAAAGAAACCAATCATACCTTTTCTATCCAGTATAAAACTGCTATGATGATAGCCATAACTAGGGTTGAAATTGCCAACACCAATAACACCCATGGCACCCAATCACCGGGATGAATGAATAATTCAAGCGACCATCTGTTAATAATCGAATTGTGAAAATATCAAGATAAGTTTGAGTTCCTCGCAATTTTAACAAATGTCAGATACTTACGTGGAAGGATCGAAGGTGCCTGAAGGCTGGTAAGGGATAATTATAAGTTGAGAATTTGGTATCACACCGCTGTATGTTGTGTAAGGCAATTTCTAAAGTAGAACAATTTCATCAGTAAAAAATAAGAATCAGTTCAAATATAATGACAAGAATAGTTACTTGATTTCGTGTGGACCCGGCAAAGAATAGCTCAATGTAATTATTTGTACGTCCAAGACCAAATAATGAATACGGTGTGATTAGCGCCTGATACGCACTCTGGGGATATTGTGCAACTATAGAAGAAAATGTTGATAAAGGTTGGAATTTTCAAGCCAAACAACATGTCACAATTTTTTTAATAATTTCAAGAGAATACTTTGATTTGCCCTTGTTGATCCAGACGTATCGAGAACGGTGAATTTATACGATGCACCTGAATAACTGACACCGTAACCCTATTTAATAGTTAGTACAATGGAACAGGTTGAATAAAATAGAATGCGCTCAACGGACAACGTTATCAAAAAATACCTGTTTCTTTGAAACCCCGTTCAACACTAAGAAGTAAGATAAGGGGAAAGATAAGATTTCATTTAGTAACGGAGCAAAGGTCAATCGCATCGATCAAACCCCAACTTACTAAGAGCTTTTAGGAAGAAAGCATCATTGAAGTAGTTGTTGTGTATAAGTTGAACCTCTTTCGCTGAACCCGAATCTGATCTTAGAATCAAAATGTCTAGCGTCCCCTGTTAAATTATTTTATTAAAAAAAAAAAAAAAAAAAGGTCAATTATGAGAATTAAAGAATAATATCACGAAAGATGAAAGAACTTACATCTTCGTCAAGGTCATAGAATGCGGAAGAGACGGCATTTGAAATGTCGTTGAGGGGTGAAGCACCATCTATGACCCTCGTAAATGTGCGCCTTCGAGCATCTCCGGCCGCTTTATTACAAGTGATGCTTGTGCACAAAACCGATTTTAACAGTGATACGTGCGATGATGACTGAGATGAGGTGGAGATCAGCAAGTCAGGATAACCATCAAGGTTGTAGTCCCCTGGATACAAAAAGAAAAGAAAAAATTAACATAGGATCAAAGAATGCATGATTAATGAATGCATGTACCTATTCGAATAGGAATAGGCAAAGTTCCTCGGAATGAAGTGTCCAGCAACGTTATTTCTTCATCCTCGGGTAATTCATCGCTCAAATCCAATTCCAGGTAAGACTATAAAATAAAAGTGACTATGAGTAACGTGATTTTCACATTTCCAACAATAATCGTGGTGATAATTTACATCGCCTGTGGTGGAGTTCAAATCAAACTTGAAGTTATTATCAGCCACACACAATTCCTGTGAACTCCTGCAGCCGGTCTCCGAACCTCCCGAGCACAACTGCATCTGTAAATTGTATGCGATATTAACTGTGCATTTTGAACTGCCCGATTGGCATACGGGGAACACCATATCTATTGCACCATCGCCGTCTGTATATTATTTGTATGCATGTACAAAAGAAAATCAGACGCGAATTAAACAAGCCAACAGTTTAATGAACAGACCAACCCACCCATGTCCGCAAAGGATATTTGTCCAGTTTGGTGGGGTAAATTTCCCGATTGGCTAAACTGAAACGCGCCCCCCTTCTTATTTATCCATATTTGATATGACAGCTGATTTGAATTGTTGCACGTGAGAAAAAGATCTGCACACAGAGTGCCAATCGATCAGGACAAATGGTGACCAACTTCAAAACAATAATTAAACCACCGTAAACGGAATTACCTGCCAAACAATCCCCGTCGAGGTCTATAAAAGCATTGGAATGTGGATCTGACAATGTGCAATTTGATACCGTCGAATTTGCAGTGGAATTTGTGACCACCATTGGAACCCTGATGCAATAGGATTTGTAAATTGTTTGATTCCAAATGTTAACGGCATTTTAAATTAATCCTAGTAAACATTGGAAAAATATTCACACTTCGAATAAAGTTCGACTCGTCGCATTGAACGCATTTTTCCACACCGAGATATATGAACTGTTGGCATAGGCATGCCCAAGCAGATCGGTCCTCATCGTTCCATAGAAATCCAACGGAATTGGTTGCTGCACAGTTGAAGACGGAACATTGTAGTAACTAGAATCTTAAATGACACATTTCAAGAACACCAATTAAATGAGGTAAAACCGATTTGAGAATCTCTCAAGAGAACAATGAGAGTCGCCAATATATTCTTACCAAACGAGCTATTGTCATACCCCATATAAACCCGCATGTAAAGTGGATCGCTCTTTGAATTTTTGCCCGTCGGATTCTCTTGTCCCATAATTAACAGATCCAAAATGCCATCATAATTATAATCTCCCGGCAAGACATTTGTGATCAAGAACCCCGGGTTGGTCCCATCAGACGTTATTGTTATGTTGGCCGATGGTGCAATCGAATACGTATAAGAATCTATTGAAGCGAGTATGCAGGATCACAAAATTACATGATTATTCGGTTGAACATGGATCCTTCACTCTAGCTTCCTTTTCAACGTGTAATTACCGTGATCCCATAAGTAAAAACTTATCGTCTTCTGATCAGCACTTAGAACTATCAAGTCTGTGCTAAATTCGGAGTTGTATCAAAGCGTAAGTCCACGATTTCCAAATCTAAAATGGTAGTCGCAATATAAGTCCATGGTACTCACTATTTATCAGAGTTGAGATCGGCAAATGCAATAACCGTCCCCCCAATATTATCCAATCCTATGTCGTTGACCGAGTAAAGCGAACTCGCCGTATATCTCGTCGTGTAAAAAAAACCGTTCACCACTTCTGGTGGAAATATTATTAACGCGCCGAATAGAAAGAATTGTAAAAAAATCCTTGTAAAGTGAATCCTGGTCATTATTGAGATCATAAGAAAATCGGTGTTCTTATGTCGTTATTTTATTTTTATGTAATGGAGAAGGAGTGGGAATCTAATCAGCAATCTATTTGCGAAAGATTCGATGGATTTCAAGATGGTTATTTAAATAAATAGATTAGTTTTGTTAAGGTTAAAACCGTGTGTTTGTGAAAATGAGACTTATGAACACTAACTTGTTTAATTATGCACCCATAATAAAGAAGATAAGATAAAAAAAGCACTTCTATGTGTTCAACTCTATAAACCCTAGTAAAAATTAATTATCTTGAAAATTATAAAAAATTCGAAGGGCTTAAAATTTGCATATGTACATAAGCCCTTGCGCGAGTTCGTGTACCCTTTCGGAAGGTGTCACAGGTTTATCGAACTTGCAAATTACGAGGCACATCATGATTCTTACGCCACTTCTAAGCATTATACCTTTTACACATATACATCATGTGATAAACCAATTTGTTCGCAAGAATTGTCAGGTTCACGAAGTCAATTCAAGTTTTTCTTCTTAAAGACCATGTATAATGTGCCAGTACTTTTTATGGATAATTTGCAAATCGAGCAAGTTGAATTTTTTGTTGCATAATCAAGTTCTCGCAAGGAAAAACTTCAATGTATTCTTTATTTGAAATAAAAATCTTTTTTTTTTTTTTTTAGAATTTATATTATGTAATTAAGGATTAACGATCAAATGTGTGGGATATTTATATACAACATACAAACTGACCACCTTAGAAATTACTATCTTTGCCATATTCTCTTGACATAACCTTAAAACGAGCGACCTTTGATGCGCACATTTGTCTACACGCAATTCGCTCTACGCGTGGTGACCTGTGACCTTTAAACGATGCGTTTTAGGCGTTTTAAAGCTTTTGTTACTGCATTTGACGACTTCAATAATACCAATATTTTCGATATCATATGATAGCCCGGCCCTATCATATGCCTTCCAAAATGCATAAATCAATGCATTCTTCCAGTACTCGCACGAATTTTCCGCAAATACGTTCTCGTGAAGATAGACTTGCGCATTGACTGACTTATAATCACCGGGAACAACAAAATAAAAAGGAATTGTCTTATGGGCACGAAGAGACCATCCTAGAAATATTTCGGGAGCCACCCCTTTCAAACAATGTCGAGGAACCAACGAATCTGATGGGGCGTTGATGATGATACCGCTTTTAATTAAGAAAAAGTCGTCAGTGAGATTTTTCATAACTTGTGACATTTGCATGCTATTAGTACATTTGTTGGTAGCTTTTAGTAATGCTCCCAAAAGACCTCCAAATAGGCGTTCGATAAGCTTCACTGTATCAATAGCACCAACGTAAATGTGGTATCTACCGACAAAGAATTTTAAATGGTTGCCTTTTTCCAAAATAGGGAGATTTCTTGCATCTCCGTATACTTCGGCTAGCCGTAGATATTTTGTGAGTAATCCTAAAATTCTTTCCGACACAATAAATTTAATAACGGATTTAATCGCCTCATCATGAAAGTTGGAGTATTTTGTTGCTGCCAGTCTGGTCACATAGTATTGGATCACTATATTGCCGATGTTGATCTGCTTCTCTACCTTTTCCTGACTGAACAATTGATCCAATGAAGGCTGTGTTGTTCTATTGAACAAAAGCTGTTGTGGACCTCTTCTTGGTGCTTGTGATTTTTTTTTTTTTTAAAAAAAAAAAAGGTGACTTTTTACATAACAAATCAGTTGAGATTGCAATTATAATGAAAATAGATGAGCACCATTTACCATCTACGTGAGGTGCGGATTTGCGGCCATTATCACCTACACCGGCACCTGGAATTTTCAATCGTTTGTCATCAATCTTATTTTTATTGCGATCATTACTAAATTGCCTCCCTTGTTCGTCGAACGTATGTTCGATAGATACATTACTCATATCCCGAGCCAAATTGGCAATTCTACTCCCTCCATAGTCCTTTTTAGCGCTGGGACCACTGTTGATGCTAAATGGGTTGACACCGTTTGCCGAGCTACTCTGACCAACTTGCCGCGTGCTACTATCATGTTCATCAATGTTCATTTGCTCATTGACACTTACCCTCCTGTCTTTTTGCAATTCGCCTTGAGTTTGAACTACAGAATCCCCGAAATTCAATTGCTTATTGATGTTCTCCTGCTTTCCGATTGTGCTTTTGGACGCATGAACGACGGAAGTACTTTCAGCGTCGTCATCGCTATCGATAATAATCACTTCTCGAGGAGCTGAATAATTGTTCGCCATGTGATGCGGGTCATCAAGGTTGGAAGTAGGTGCTGAAACGACCCGAGTTATTTCATCCGGTGTCTTCTGCTTCTCGATTATATCAGATTGTTCGTTAACCTGTACAATGTGGTCACGCAAGGGTCAGCTTGGCATACACATGGTTGGTCACGTAAAACATTTGACGATAGAAATCTTTTGGACTTTACGGTCTTCAGAAAATTTGATAAAAGACGCGCTATCCGGGGATCTTTTTTGATGTATTTGTGAACCGTTGGAAAGCAACTAGCATCACGATCGACAAGTTTCAAACATTTTTCTAAAATATCTTCCGAGACAACGTTGTCTTCAGCAAAAGTAAGCTGCCCAATCGAGCGAATTATTTGTCGCAAATCGCTATTAACTTCGGCGGCGAGCTCTTCATTTGTGATTTGCTTGAATAATGCGGGGATGGTCGACATTTCGCGCGTAAAAGCTCGACTTGTGACACAGTATGATCCTTTTTTATTTCCAATAATTGCCGCTACGGGATGTCTTTATTGGTGCAAATCAACTAATGATTATAAGAAAATTCAGATTATATACAGTATGTTTTTTTTTTTTTTTAACCCGCAATCATGCCACAATGGCTTGTCTTTATTGAAAAATTGAAGTAACTCTACAATATTTTACAGACTTTCACAAAGTGACTAACTCATCTTCATACAAAAGTACTCTAAGTCAGATTTTGGGGACAATATTACACTCTCCCAATAAATTGGTAATAACCTCTATCTATCAGGATCATTGCCAACAGTTTGTCATTGTTGATTCTGTGGTTTTTATTTACTACAAAATAATGTTGTACATATGATTATTTATACATGGTAAATGTATTACATACTATATATACTAACTAGTCCTGTTAAGGGAAATCACATGATGCTCTCTTAATTTTTCCTAGAACAATTTTATAAAGTAATCTAGTTATCAGACCGTTGTGTATACTCTAACCTGTCCCCAGTTTTGGGATTTCGGTGTGGTTCACAGATTCCTTCTCTCACCAAGGTCTCCCAATGATTCATCACAGGCAAGTTTGACCATACTTTTAAGCGTTCCACTGGTACAATATTTACTCTCTTCAGAACTTCAGCCTTCTTAACTTGACAACTTCCTTATCGGTCAGTAAGATCGACGAAGTGTCTTCGTCAATCCAGTTTCTGTCCTGGTTAACCACGAGATCAGCCCCATCCTTCTTCACCTTATCATGATAATAATAAGATACTGATCATCTACAATATCCATAAACTGGCCTGATCTGGTAAAGATCAGTTATAGGTGATGCCATGTTACAGCAGATCCTTCCATTTCGGGTATCAGTAAGATACTGTGGTTTTTATTTACTTAGAAATAATGTTGTACATATGATGATTTTATATATGGTAAATGTATTACATATTATATATACTAACTAGCCCATTAAAAGAAATCACACGATGCTCTCTTAATTTTTCCTAGAACAATTTTTATAGAGTAATCTAGTTATCAGACTGTTGTGTATACTCTAACCTGTCCCTGGATTTGGGACTTTGGCGTGGTCCACAGATTCCTCCTCCCATCAAGGTCTCCCGATAGTTCATCACAGGCAAGCAACCTCAACATTAAACCCCTATTTCATAAACAAAAAGGGTAAATACAAAGTAGAAGCAATAACTGCCAATATTCCAGGGAACAATAAAGAAGAAACCAAGGCATACTTGAGTAGCATATTGAAATTATCACGAAACAAGTGCAATTTTCTTCACAAGGAATTTATCAATGGAAATGAATGGTTGAGTTTCCATCTGGAGAAAGAAGAAGATCTTTTCAAATGTTTAGAAGAGATAAACAGAAAGAAAGAAGCTTTCAGTCTACAACAACTTGAAAACAAGGATACCAATCTAATACAAAATATAAAAATATTAGACAAGAAGATCTTTCAATTAAGAAAAGAGGAAGAGAAAGAAAATATATGACATGTTAGCCTAATAGATATAGCATACAAAACTTCATAACACCTGATAAAAGAATATCTCAAAAGGTATAGTGAGGTACAAAATATGCATATCTATAAGGTCAAAACAAAAACAAGGGTCAAGACTTATATCAAGTGGCATAGTTACCTTAAAACAAACCCATAAACATTATAGATGACCCTATTAGGAACAGAAACTACTAGAGCCATCTTCTTCAGGAAAGAACTGACAGATAGAGAGATTAACAACACTCTAATAGAAAGAAATAAGAACTCTACAAGACTATTAGGTACAAACAAGTCCTACTCAAGTTTGGTAACCAGGGCACTCAATAGTACAGAAGCGAAAGCATGTTACACTCCAAGAAACCCTTTACACTAATAAAACAAAACTTCACAGTCATATGTTTTGCATCAATAGAGGCACTCAACAAAGCCTGTAAACAATGTATCTTTTTACAAAGGCTATGCCTATTATGGAGTGTTAAAAAAATACAGTAACAGAAAATGAAAAGACCCATGATATTGAAAGAAAAAGAGCCATAGCACAAGATATGAAAGTTTAAATAGACAATAAGGTATCTATAGACCCATTATCTAACAATTAATCGATCAGTTTCTCCTCTTCTTATAGTAGGAATTATTGATCTTCAAGAAGACAATACTCAAGAGATCCATCTCCAAGAGATCAAAGAAGATCCCATAGAACTCAAACTAGTAGAAGAAGACAAAAAAATAATGAAAGACTTAAGAACCCAGCTACAGGAAGTAATAGAGAACCTATGGGCAATCCAAGGCCTAGCCGGTACAATAGTTTTGATAAGTATGTGTCCAATACAGAAATAGAAAATGAAGAAGACCTATTATATCATATCTTAAACAACTTAGAAAAGTTAAGTGACAGAATAGCCAGACTTGAGGATAGAACAGCTTCTAATAAACAAATAAGATATAGTAGAAGAGGAACAAATTACTTCTAAAAAGGTGTACTAGTTGTTCAAGATAATAAGAGGGAAAACAAGCCTAATTTATCCCTAGCAAAAATTTTAAAGAAGGATAAACATTAACAAAAAGAGCACAGCTGTATACAATTAGATAATTTGAATCTAGGAAAATTCTTACAAAGTGAAAAAACCAACTTTTTGAATAAAAAAGAGAAAGAAAAAGAAAAGCAAAGTAACAATAAAGATAAGGAAAATGATATTGAAAAAAGAATAATAAGAATAGGTACATACAATATAAGAGATATCACTGATATAACTAATCAACATAGTCTTATAAAAGATATAAGTGAGCAAGGCATAGAAATAATAGAATTGTGCAAGACCAAGCTAATACACAATAATGCAAAATGGGCCTTTAGTAATCAGAAAGAATACAAACACTTCTATAGTACCAAAAAAGATATTCCATATGGTGCAGAAGTAAGTTTACTAATAACAAAAGATCTTGAGAAACAAGTAGCATCAGTAGAGGAGGCAGATGGTTATATGATTGTCATCAACATATTTACAAAGAAGAACAAAATCTGCATTATACAGATTTATATCCCATCAGATAGATATAGACACAAGAAAGTACAAGATAATTTAATAAGCTATATTAGAGGAAAACATGGATAGAACTTTCACACAATTTTAATAGGTAACTTTAATGCAGCATATAACCCATTAGAAGATAGAGCATTCTCATCTAGGGCATATTTCAGACCCTCATGGTGACCTGAAATTTCTCTATTTAACTTTCTTGATGAATAGGTTTTTTTTAGATATATAGGCAATATAGAAAGGAAAAGATAAAACTTCTACTAGGCAAGATACCGTAAACAGTAGCAAAATAGATTTCATCTGGATGTCACAGAGCTTGGCAAAATACACAATCCTATGATTTAACAATCAAAATATGAAAGAAATTACTGAAAGTGGTCATACTATGCTTTTGGTAATCCTACATAATGATAATCTATTCACAAGAAACAAGACCATTAAATACTGTACAACATCCAAAATATGAAAGATTGATCTAAAAGGAACATCCCTCAAACAATAGCAAGCCTTTTGAGAAAGTCTGAACCATAAACTTAAAACTTCCTTGAAGCCTATACTCAATAAAAAATCTAATGAAGATGAAAGAGAACTACTAGCAAATAAAATTTGGAAAACCTTTGAAGATCTAATTTGTAGTGCAGCTTTTAACAAATTAGAAATAAAAAAACTGGTATCAAATAAGGAGAAACGATATAAATATAGTTTAGAATTTTTGCAGTAAAGAAGAGCTCTTTAATTAAAAATAGTCTTTATGAAAGCAGAGACATTAAAATAAATAGCAAAGATGCAGGAACTCAGTATAACTATTAAAAAACATAATGTCATCCATGATCCACATCATCAGATAGAAAACTATTGCATTCAATATAGCATTTCCAATATCCCCTGGATATCCTTGAAAAAAGATATCCAAGATGCAATAGAAAGGCTCAAGTTTATATATCAAAACTTAGAAGCCAAAAAAATAAGAGAGGAGATCAAATCAGCTTTAGAACTAAGATATATGATCTAAAACACAATCAAAAAAAGATGGTAAACTTGCTAACAAACAAAAAAAGAAGCAAAATAGTACTTGACTGGATTAAGGTCAAACAAGATGGTATAGAATACATAATGATGAACAAAAAAGAAATTGAAAAAGAAATAAGAAAATACCATCAAGAGGCCTTCAAAAAGCGAGACACCAACTTTGTCAATCTTACCGAGGAATGGAAAAAGGAATATGATCCCAAAAAGTATATTCAAGATGCATGATACAACAATCTTCTAGAATCAATCACACATGAAGAATTGGAAGAAACTCTCTGTGTACTCCCAAATAGCAAAGCCCTAGGAAAATCCCAGATTAGCTATGAAATACTAAAGAAATTGAGTTAAGAAGGAAAAGAATACCTGAAAAAGATGTTAAATACCTTCTTAAGATAGGAAGTTATACCTGTATATTGGAAACAAAGCTACATATACCCAATAGCCAAACCAAAACCATGGAATGTGAATTAGCAAATACAAGACCAATTGTACTACTGGAAGTTATCAGAAAGTGTTTTATCAAAATTCTAATCACTAGAATAGAAAATATTTGCAAGATCAACAATATTCTTAGGGGTCCCAACTATGCAGGATTGTCAGGAGAGAGTATAGCAAAACCTATTCAAATTCTTAACAACATCTGTGAAGATGTAAGAGAAAATAAAAAAGAGCTGTGGATATTCTTTTAAGACACAGCCAAAGCATATGATACTATTAGCCTGAAAATACTAACCAAGGCAATGGAAAGGATCAAGGTACCCAAAGGTTTTATCAAGATCATAATGAGCCTGTTCCAAAATAGAGAGTTTAAAGTAATATTTGAGAATGACCTCACAGAACCAATAAGGGCAGGAGATAGAATAGATCAAAGAGAAACCATCTCACCACTAAT